GTCAAGTTCTCTATCAACAGGCACATCTAAATCTAAGGCAAAGGGCATTGTCAAAAGACTTACCTGTTCACCAGGAGATGTGTATGTCATGTCTGTTCGGGTAAGGGTGTGTCTGTACGTGTAGGCAGTGTACCTGTTCGTGCAATGGAAAGTGCCTGTTCAAGTAGTAAATGTKTCTGTTCGTTTAGAGTTGTGCYTGTCCGAAAGTGAAGTCAGTAGGCACAGTCCCAGTTCTGGTCTAAGTCAAGGGGTCAGTCCAGATCCAGACTTTCAAGTCCAAATCCAGGCTGAAGTGCCTCAGCAGCAGTTGAACCTCATTGGGACTGTACTGAGACACATGCAATGCAGGGTCTGGGACAAAGGGAGAGGCTGAATTGAGCCAATGCAGACCCAGCGAGGAGTGGCCAGCATTATAAAAAGAGATGCCTGCCTCATTCCTCGCCAGATCTCCACTGGCTGCAATGCGTGGAAGTGCTGGTGCACTTGTGCGCTGAGTCAGGAGGAGCAGCGCTGGAGGAGAAGACGCGCTGGAGGGAGGAAGAAGCCTGTACGCTAGAAGTGATGCAGCCATAGCTGCCCAGCGAGTTAGCATTAGTAGTAGAGGGTTAGTATGTAGCTATGAGTAGTATCCAGAGTAGATCCTCATGAGTATTAAAGAGTGTGTATGCATCATAGGAGGAAGGGATTGAGGCTGAGAGTGTTCCTTCAAGGTTTGGCTATGGAAGATACTTACCTGAGTTGGATGTGACCTGCAGAGGCGGCGCTGACGAGTAGTGACCACATTGATGACTTGGAGACTATCTGCAGGGGTAGCACTGATTCACTGGAAGTCATATTGATGAGTTGGCAAGCTATTGGTGTTGTGCTGATGAGCGCTGGACTCAGGGGAACTTTGAAACACTTTGTATTCATATTTCTGATAATATAAGCTGTGAAACTCGGTCCTCGTCTTCTCTATCTTTGTCTATTGTGAAACTACTGTTCATTGTGTGTGGGAGTACGATGCATGGCATGAACACACTTGCGTGAGATGGTCCCCAGGACCCATGCACCAAAAAAAAAAAATCTAATAAATATTAAAATTTAATTTTTAAAATTTAATTTATTAAAAAAACTTGAAAAATGTTCTTAAAACTTTTTTAAATCTTATTTTTTATTTTAAATTTGGTATTTTAATGTGACCCTGAGGCAAAAGTTGTTCAGTTCATTTTTCTGCATAACATGATTCTTTTTCAGAATTTTTTGGTTTTTTTTTTTCTTTTTCTTTTTGCTGGGACCTTCTATGTACCTCGCACGGCCGGGCCGCCCGGGCAAACAAGGTGGCCCGGGCGGCCCAGCTGGTAGCCTAGGTTCTCTGTTTATTCTTGCTTTTGGGGTTCACGGGGTCCCTGTCCTTAGGGCATCAAAACAAGAACGTACAGAGAAAGTTGATTAGCATGGCCCCTGCACAAGGATTGCATGCACAAATTGAGAAATGGTCCAAATTTCAAAAAGAAAAAGTGTCGTCCTTATGCAGGGGCCCTTAAACCACCAGCACATCTGGGGAATACGAAAGAGCCTCCCTGAAACGTTAGGGGACTCGGGACAGGGCCCGACTAGGGTCGGGCGGATTTTTTTTTTTTTTCAGGGCTGGGCGTGGTTCCACCCCACGGCATGGGACAACTTTTTCTCCTACTGGTCCTTCAGACGTCTCGTCCCGAGCCTCTGAAATTTTCGGAGAGGCTCAATCGTGATTCTAAACTTGGC